GTGTCTGTCTGCTTGCCAATTTAGTTAAAATCCATATGATTACAAGTAAAATTAACAGCGTTTTGAACTATTTTGCTTTTCAAGTGGCTAAGCTCTTTAGCAGCTTTAGAGTAGGAAAATAGTCATAAATATGTTGCTATGACTCCAGAAACAAGTCACAGTTCCTTTTCGGTGAAACAGAGTTCAACAAAACGTTCTTGATTCATTTGTTTGATCAGCCAAGATGTTTGGGTCTGCATGTTTTTGTTGAAGCTGAAGAAATTACTACTGTCTGTTTACCGAACACAAGTTGACACTTGTGACTTCTCTGTGACAGACTATAAAGTGAAATCATGTAAAGAGATATCTGAGGACAGGAGGCAGGATGATTTCCTGGCAATCGAAATGGGAAGCAAGTTTGGCGATACGAGTTTTGTCCTTGGCTTTACTGCTGATTTACCGGAGCAAGAGCTCTTGACAGCCCATGTGATCTGTCTGTGCCTCTGTTTGTCCTCTCTGTAAGATGAGAAAAATCAAATAAAACTGTAATCTTTGTAAACAAAGTTGATATTTCTGAATGAAAAGTGATAAAAAGAGCTGTATGTTCTTGTTGTCAAGAAAGGAGGAGGCCATCTATACAACGGCAGGAATTTTCATACATTCCCATTGTGTGATTATTTCAATTAAAGAACAATTCTGTTGTTTACTTCTGTTCCATTTTTGTTCTTGGAGTCCCTTTTCTCCTAAATTCTCAGTCAGTTAAAATCCCGTTGGCAATTGCAGCAGTTTACATTTGCAGAGATTTCATCAAGAATGAAATAGAAATAACTTAAATAGGATGATGCTGATTAATCATCTGAGAATCTGGCTTTGTTTACAACATATGTGATTTCTTATATTCGTTTCATTATGCTATAAACTTCTCAGATGCAAGGATTGAAAAAACTCTGTTGTTTTGCTGTCAGGCTAACTTTTGTCTATTCCTTGGATTGTAACAGGGTCTTTTTATGAGATTATTTTGGACTGTTGGTGAAGAAGGGGGTCTTTCATCATATATTGAATTCTCACATTTGATTTCTGGCACAAGGAATTTCTTAAACGTAGTATGTGAGCTTAGGAAAAGTTGAAAAGAAACTACTCCATTGTAGTACATGAAAGTGATTATGCAGCCAGCAATTTATGTTCCTTATAGTACTAGTGTGGAAGTAAAACATATGTACTAAATAATTATTTATAAATATATGAAGGCTTTACTAAGCAGTTTTTAAAATATAATCTACAGTTCTAGAGTATCAGTATAACATCTCAGACAGATACCCAGGGGGACTGTTCATAAACCAATCATAAAATGTACAGAAAATATCACCAGCTTACCTTCAGTACATAAAATATCATTTAGAAAAGAAAATTCAGGCTTTTCCTCCCCCTACTTCTCCCTCTTTCTGTCTTTCTGGTAGAAACTCACAGTAATAGGCCCTGCCATCTGCTGCTATATATTTTTCATGAGTTTTAACATTTTGTTTTTAGAACCTGAGAGATGAGTAAAATGTCAAGTCACCCAGAAAATAATCATAAGCACGACAACTCAAATGTTATCTCAGCTTGTCTGTACAAGAAGTGGTTCACAGCAGGTCTGTGCCCTCCCTCTTTGCAGATCAAGCAGGCGGAGCAGGTGAGCAGGTACACTGTTGGTGTTAGCTGATGTATTTTCAAATGCCACCACAAGACTTCAACAGGAGATCTTCTGCTAATTTTAGTGAGAGTAACGTGGCCAAAAAAAACAGCAGCATTGCTTTCAAAGTTCATTCTGTAGAAGGTGAACTTCACATTTCCTTTAGAGTTTTGTGTTATTTGGAGTGTCTTATCGTGACTGCTAGCCTAAATAAAATGTAGCCACCAGACCGTCATTGAGGCAAGAAGGTGGTAACTACACTAGCAAAATTAATTCCCAGCAAAGAAGCGAACTCTGTTGTGTTGTCATGGAAATGTCATGGGCTTTTTGCTACCCTTCGTCCTCCTTCCATTCAAAAGCTTGGGTCTGTGACTCTCCTGTCAGCCCTGTAGCTGCAGTGTGCCAGGGAGGTGTAGCAAAGGGCGCCTTCCAGGTTGTGTTTCTCCAACATTTCCAGCCGCTCTGTGTTTTTCCCATTCTGTTCTGTTATGCTGAGACTAGACTGGAGCTGACAAGCTGAGAAGGCATTAGAAGGTGTGAGAAGGATAAGACCTTCAGCTCAAAAAGTGCTCACAGTTCTTAACTTAATTTGGAGGGAAAGATCTGTGCAGCCCATTTCGTGCCACCGTGCTGTCAAGCTGCACTCAGGATCTCTTTCATTCAGCAATGTGTACTGCTAACGTAAGAACTGTATAGCCGTATCGTTTGCCTCCTACATTTTGAACCGTGCAAAGATAAAATTATTTCATTGAATAGGTTCCCAGCAGCTCAGGGATGTTTTTCATAATAAATCCTCTGCAGATTTCCTGCCTTTCATTAGAATAAGAAGTTTCCTCCGTGATCTTTGCACTCTCAGCCTGTGCAAAAGCCCTCGTTACAGTGTTGCAAGATTCTTCTCTTAATATTCCACTTCGGAAGTCTCAAGCTTGTTTCCAATTATCTCCATTCTGTGCTTCATTTTACTCATTCCTTTAGGAAGTCCCTTGTTCTCAGGACATTTTTCAGGCTTTCCAGTGAATGATTACTAGTGCTGTTCTTTGAAACTGCCTATACTGTTGTTGCTGGAGCTACACTTCTGAAGACAGTGCGAGAGGCAAGTTACTTCCATATCTGAGAGGACCTTAAGAAACAGGAGGCAGAAAAGTGATGGTTCTTTCACAGGTTTAGTTCTGTGATTAGTATATATTTAATGAATATGCTTAGGCATAGTGTTCTGGTCTGCTGAAAGGGTGAACAAGGCAAGTACTACTGATGATTCAGAACTGAAACCACTCACGTTTTGTCAGCCATGTCAGCAAAACTCAAATTTGCAACCCCCCAGGATGGGGACAAATGACTCTTTCCTATTGCTGCAGATCAGCTCTCTCAAGCACCAGCTTCCCCGAGCCAGCCAGAGCTACAGCCTTAGAGATATCGCTGAGGCCTCAGATGCAGGGTGGTAGAGGACCGGCGAGCAGCTGCATTTCCGCTTCGGGCAGTGCTGCAGTCTCGCAGTGGGGCCAGGTGACAATGCTCAGCTCTGGAAAGGGAGCACTGGGAAAGGCGAGCACCGAGCAGGGACAGATGTGCCAGCTGTAGCGTGTGGCCACCTCTTCCTGGGAACGGGAACTCCAGTGGACCTGATGCCTTGGTCCGCTCCTGAGGCTAGTGCACAGGGGAGCCCCTGCTAGTGTCACTCTTTGCCTGACTTTGTCACTGTAATGGTGTAGGTATGATAGCGTAAGGAAACAGGCTTGACAGAGTTTGCAGATGGGGGTCGTGCTTTTATTGGAACCAATATAGATGAGCCCTGGAAGAGACCTGAAGAAGAGCTCGTATGCCCAAAAGTTTCTCTGGTAAGGTGCATATAGCCTCTGTCTGTAAAATGGGTCATATTTTAAGGAACTGTAACTTGACTATGCTATGGCTGTAGTCTAAAGCTGGACTTGACTTCCATGCTAACATTTTGTTGTCTTTGGCATTCCGGTTGAAAAAATAATTGTAGACAAATTACTCATATAATGAAAATGTCCAAAGAAACTGTAATTAAAATTACTGGCTTGTATTTTTCAGGACATGAGATTGTCATTGATTTTCAAGACTGAGGAGCCTACTAGACCTTTAAACCTTTAAATTCTCCAGTGATTTTAATCTTTTTGTGCCTTTAAATACATTCCCCTTTCATAACATGCTTAGAGTTTGATTTCTGTCAATAGCAATGCTTTTAATCACTTTATTGAAATCATTGTGCTGTAATGTATGTTGGCTTTGAAAACTAATTGATGACCTTTGATGTATAAATATTTACCTTTCTTTCAAAGGTACTGCATGAGTGCCTATCTCCAAGTGTGTGTGTGCTGTGGCTGGTCGTCACTTCTGATGTGCTGTGTACAGTGTCACAAATCTCCAGAGAGTCCAGTGTGTTCATAAATAACCAACTATCAAGTGCTCAGTTGAAAGCAGGCTATTTGGAGGAATGTACACTCCGAGTCCCATTTTAGAGGAGGCTTTTTGCTTTTCTGTTTTTTTCTTGCTTTGTGAAGTTTTGTTTTGTGTCAGAAAGCTGGGTTCCTTTGTTACACCTGGAAAACTGAAAGAATGAACAACAGCAGAGTGTAAGAGTTTGGGAGATAACTCCTGAAAATAAGATGTAAATCTTGGGAGTAACAAATCAAGAAGAGCATACAGAAATCAAAGAGTGAAGCAGTATCTGATGAATAATCACTTTCCCCTTGCTTCCTGCATGCTGTTTTTTTGTTTGTACTAATTTAGTGCAAGTACATGTATGCTGACAGCCAGTATGCTAACTGTCTGGGGTATGAGTCAGAATTTGGGAGAATTCAGGATTAAGTTCTTTGATGTGGAATAGGCTTCATCTAGCTTCTTTCTGTCTTTCTGGATTTTTTTTTGTTGTTGCCAGTAATTTTGAAACAGGACTGAAATGCTGCATGTGTACTTGAGCTGATCTAGAGAAACATAATTCTAATAGATGCTGTTCACCCTAGAGAATGGAGGAGTGGTCAGGGGCACAAGAGATCTGAATTTCATTCCTGGCAGTGTCCTAGGTTTACTGAGTAATCAGTGGAAGGTCTTTTCTCTGGTGTGTGCCTTTGTCTTCCTGTCTCATGATTCAGGGAGTAAAACAGTGTTTAATAGCTGGTCATCTTTATGAGGAAAATGATGGTGTTTGCATGCTGTCTTTAAATGGTAATGAAAATATCTGTTCCTTCTTTATCATGTATAAAGAGCTGTTTCTAAATAGCAAAAGCAATTGAAAAGACGTGTACCTGTAAAAATATTATTATGTTAAATTTCTGTGCCAGGTGTGTTTTCTACAGATATGTTTATATGGTGGGTTGTTTTTTTTCAGGCCCTGCTTGACACTCAGAATCTTTTGAGAGCTCAGATTACAAATTTTACTTTCAACCTGGGATTTTCAGGGAAATTTTATCACACAGGTAAGAATGAAATATTAAAATCACTTTAATTTTGATGACATTCTTTGTAGCATGAGGAAAGTAAGAATGATAGAACTAAGCGTCTGAGTAGAGAGAACCGTTTCCTTCATAACAGGATAACTGAAAAATCAAATTGTTCTCTCTTCCAGGTTGCTTTGGGGCATACATTTATTTGTGTGATTTACCGAATCAGATTTTTCTCATAAAGTTATTATACCAGATTAACCTTTTGTTTGAGCTGTAGTCTGTCTGGAAATAACCATGTAGTTAAGAGCCTGTAAGCACCTCTTTGCAGCAACATTTCTCTTTTTTCTAAACAAAAAAAAGAAAAAAAGAAAGATGCTCATTCTTTGCATAATAGTCCAATAAGCAGAGCAATGACGTGGAAATAGGAGAGCCAGGCTATAACTGCTAAGAGAAGGACTAAGCCCTTCAGAGAAGTGTCCTGTCAGACTATTAAGCTTCCTGAATAAGAGAAATGTTGTTGTTCCTCCTCCTCCTGCAAGCCGGGACATGCAGAAATGGCAGTTACAGGGCCAGAAGAACTTGCAAGAGGCAGTCCAAGTTTGGGATGACAGTTTTCTGTATGGGTTATACCTGTTAAATATGTGTCATTGGATAACAGTAAAATCAGTCCTGAGGGTGGAATAAAAACATCTCTCTCTTTATAACTTTGTTCAATTTGAGCTAGGTCAGATGCTCACTATGTAACCTCTCCTAGGAAATGGAGGGAGGAAAACACATAGAATAGGTGAACTGGATTTTTCTCTGCATCCATTTCCTGCATGCACAGAGAATTTAGGTGGTCATTTTAGGTGGGATGGAACATCTCAGGATGAGGCACCTATAATTCCAGTAAGCTGCAGTGCCTGCATTAGGTGCCAGTGTGGAACAGATTAAATTCATCCTCCCTTTTTTCTTAAAATTCAATTCCTTTCAACCTGTTGTTCAGTGGTACATTCCTCCGATCAAATGAAATTTTCTGTTGACTTCATTGAGAGATTTGTTGAGCTACCATGGTTTATCATTTCAGATAGTTTAATCTCTACTGTAGAGATATAGCAATATATATTACACATTAAAATAATTTTGTACTTAAACCGCTATAGAAATAGGGAGAAAGAAAATATAAAGTATTAAATAAGATGTGATATAGAAGAAAGAAGGTGCTCTCTACTCACAAACAGAAAGAAAAAGACTTGCTTGCAAAATGGGACAGTATCAGAGCCTGGAAGAGAGAGAGAGAGAGAGACAAAGGACAATACAAGATAATGTCATAGCTGAGGGGTATTAATATGAAAAGAGGGAAGTGAAGTGGCATGTTAGCTGAGACTAGGCACCAAAACCAGATTTGTTTGAAGCCAAAGAAAGACACAGAGCTTGAATATGCTCAACTGCTGTGCATGTTACATAGCAGAGGGATGAGCATGCCTCTTCTTCTGCTCAGCTGTGCACCTTGGCCAGTATTACCTGTCATGTTAAGAAGAGAAAAGGCAGGGAAATAAGTCTGTTATTTAGAGCTGAACAGCTGGAGAGGAAAGCAGCTGCAAGGTCTCTCGGGCTCAGCAGACTTCAGCTAGACTTGGTGAATGTCCAGGTTTCACCCCTGCAATCCAGGTGTCACCCGCACAGTTCAGAGAGAATTAACTTTTTCACATTCAGGACATCACTTGCTCCATCCATTCCCATCCTTTCCTCCCCTTTCTTTTGCCTAGAATGGCCGAGCAAAATTGTCCTGACTGCCAAGTTTGTCACCTGCTGGTGTCCCAGCAGGCAGAGGTACTTTCCAGACCATTTCTTTTGCCTCAGTTGACAGTTCAGATCCTTTGGAGGGAACATGCGCATGGGTTTCCTGGTTTTGGCTGAGTAGGATTTGGCAAAGGCATTGCAGGTTTGTAGTACAAACTGACCCAGTTACTGTTACTGGCTGTAAACTGAATGAGCTGAACCTGTCCCCATTACAGCCCATCCCTTGCTGTGGCTTTCTTCCTTTCTTGATATGATTTCTCCTCCTTGATCCAGCCACCGTAAGACCTTTAGGCACTCCTGTCACTTTCTTTGATAGTGTCTGAAGATCACACAGGGCCCCATGGATTCAATCTAATGGACTAAAATCTAATGATCCTGCAAATATTGACACATTATATATGTCTGCCCACATTTTTCATTCACTGCCGTAGTTCCCTTGGAGGTAATGAGGAATCAAATCACAACAGTGAAGGTAAGTCAGACAAGGTTTGCTGAAGGAAAGTGGAAAAAGCAAAAGGTACATAGGGTTAGTGAGAATATAGCCGTACAGATGCAGAAAGCATCGGAGCTGAACATTTGGCTAAAAGACTGGAAAAGGAGAGTAGATGATGCAAGATGCTGAGAAAGAGAAGGAATTTGTCCAGTTGTGTTGGTTCTTGGCAGGGGTAGGAGCAGTCAGAAAAGCAGGAAGCAGGCACAGCTTGAAGATGTGTTCAGCTAAAGGTTGCTGAAGTTCAGCTTATACAGTCTTTATACGGCAGCTCATGAAGGGGTTATTTAAATTTGGCTGCCTTTGACAGGACTTTGTCATTAAAAGTGCACTGGGACTAGGATAAATGTCTGGGCTTGGGGGTGGAAGGAGTGTCCTGATCTGCCAGCTAATTAGACCCTGATGCTTCCCATGCCCAAGGTGTTGTCAGATACACAGGCTGAATCTCTGCGAGGAGGCTGTACAGCGCCAAGGCAGGGGCCCGAGCACGGAGAGCGGGTTGTCATTGCCCCTGGGTTATGTGAATGGCCACTGGAGTGCTGGGGGTCCCGGCCATCCGCCCACAGCCAGCACCCAGGGTAGCAGGGGCAGGGACCTGGGTCCATCCTCGTGGGTGGCCGGGCTGCGGCCGCTTCTCTCGCCAGCTGGGAGGATTTATGAGCGCCAAAGCGGCCAGCTGGCTCAGGGGGGGGGGGCAGGCCCCACCGCTGGCTTATTTACTGCCGTGGCGGCAGCACGTGAGGTGTGGGAGAACAGCAGGGCCATACACCGCAGCCCGAGCAATTCCTGCTCATTAGAAATGGCTGCAGGGCCTGTTGCCTGCACCGCGTCCTCAGGAACAGGCAGGAGGGAGACTGAAAAGACAGGCCTGGGGCCTGAGAAATAACTCGGTGAGCTCCAGCCACCCTTGGAGTCTCTTCAAAGATGCAGACTTCTGGGAACTCCCGAGTAGGCCGTGATCAGAAAGGTAAGAATTAGTGGGGAAGAGAAGACAATGGTATTATGCATAGCATTTTGAAAAGGCTGCTGGAAAAAAATGCTTCCACGTGTCATAGGTAACAAAAGGAAAAAAAGTTCGTTTGGGGAGTGAATTTAGTTTGGGTAAGGAATACCAGAAAAGCGTTGTCAACATTTTCATTTATACTCTGTATTGAACTGTCTTGTATACAATTTCTCCGATTCTGTCCCTTAGCTACTGATGTTACTGATATAGCACATGCGTGAGGACAGTGTTGTACCATGCATTCAAGATGCCGTGAAAATGGGGCTCAGTCTTTTACTTGGCTATAATTACTTCAGGAAAAGGAATATCTCCTTGGAAACATTTAAAATCCTCAGTACTTTAAATAGTCACATTTTATTGTGCTAATTTCTTTCTTTTATTTTCAAACATTTGTAAGAATATAATAAAAGTAGAGACTTCAGAGATATTTTTCTTTTTTTTTTATTTTTTTGCAGGCACTGAAGAGGAAGATGAAGGCGATGACCTGCTGTTGAGGTCTGTAGATGAGTTTTGGTGGTTTCCCCATATGTGGAGTCACATGCAGCCTCATCTCTTCCACAATGAGTCGTCACTGGTAGAGCAGATGATCCTCAACAAAAAATTTGCCTTAGTGAGTTACATTTTTGCATTTTATATTGAATTTAGGTATTCAGAAACCATTATTCCTGTTTTGTTGGAAAATCAATCCTGGTAGACTTTGTTTTCATCTCAATGAATTGAAAAAAAAGAAAGTTTTGATAAAATGCTTTTTTTGCAATCACTCTGTCTTGTGCTATGAAAATTCTGTTTCTCTGTAGTTTGGATCTCCTTCCCAATTGAAGTTTGATATTTTAGAAACAATCCAGTTTCTGAACGAATAAATACTCCATCAAAATTTATCAAATGACTTTATGAAAACAGTGCACATTAGGATTGATGAATTGTGCCACATTTTCAAAGATGCTTTTCTGCGTTGATACCTAATAACATCTTACATCTTCCCTTTGGATCAGCTTTGTAAAAACTTGTTTTGAAAAGCATTGCCTTTACTAATTATTTATTCCCAGCAAAGCTCTGAAAAAAATGTTTCAGTGAGAATATAAGAAAAAAAAAATCCCACAGATCTTCAGGTCTGAGGATACGAGAGAAACAGACTTGCCTTTAGCTGACAGGGAATGACTTTGTTCCTTGAAAGAGCAGGTGGATGTGAAATACCAGAACAAAAGAGAGTGTGCTTATGGTCATGTGTCAGTGAGTGTAGCAGTGAGCAAGTTATAGACCTAGAATATCAAGCATTTAGAGTTTGTATTTGAAATCTTTGCTTTGAATTAAGGTATATGCTTTCTTTTGACCATGTTTTTTACCAAGTTTACCATAAACTGTAGTAGTACTGAGTACAGGCCAGCTCAATTTTACTGTTTCCTTTACAGAAAACATTTAGTAGAAGTTAAATTATGAAAATTTATGAAAATTTAATAATCCTGTGTCCAAAATTCCCTTTTTTCTATGATTCTGTGTACTGTTGCAAGCTCCACTGGAAATTAGTTCTTGTAGTTCTAGTCTAGTGACCTAAGACACCCTCTGGGATTAGTCTACAGTATTGTAACCATTAAAGTATGTTATTAGAATAATTCGTATTCAACCCTGGTTTAGGTAACTTCATCAGTTTCTATTTTCTTCACTGCTTTCAATGCTCTTAATACTTACAGATACCTTATATTAAATGTTTTTCATGTCTGAAGCGATGTATAGACAAACAGAGATGAAGTTACTCACTGTTTCATTTGCTTAAAGCATTTATATTAATAACAAAGATAAGTATCTTGCTTTCTTGAAAGAGGCTGAAATTGCTGATGCCTCACGCATTATCAAACTGAATGTGTATATTGTGTGTGAAATGCTCACTAAGAATAATGGAGACACTGATACATTAAAGATAATAGGCTCGTGATTAGAATGAAAGAATTTAATTACATATCTATTACTCCATATTGTAAAACTTGAGGGGAAAAAAACTCTTAAAAATCAGATGTTTGTTTATAGCTGAATGAAGGAGATTAAGCGGAACATTAGAGAATGCAGTTTCTTAACGTGTTCTGTAAAGATTTTTCCTTCTGATGTTTACGCGTGCTTAAGGGAAACAGAAAAGAGAAAAGGAAGAGGAATTGAAATATCTGCAATGGAATTAAGTAGGATAAAGCTGTGTAACTGATGGGGTATCCATTCTTTATCTCCCCATGCAGTAAAACCAATAGGCCAGATCCTTCTCATTCCTACTTTGGCAGATTACACGTAGTGCACCCCAGCTGTAAAGCAGCAGATGATGCGCTCCCTGGGTGCAGCACTGTCGCTGGTGGGGTGTTTGGACCTTACCCAGGAGCGATACAGCCTTACAAGAATGCCAAAAGCTGCACCAGCCGCAGGGTGGTAAAATCTGATGCCCCATTATGTATATCATAAATTGCTAAAAGGAAATAATAAATTCACCAGTTGTTTAAATATAGAAAAATCAGGGTTCTCAACTGTGACTAAACTATACCTGTCTGTTACACACACCATTACACTAGGTTCCAGGTAGCCCTTTACTGAGGAAAAAATAGCTTTCTTCCCTTGCAGGCTTCACATCTTTAAAGTCTTATTTCTCATGTTCTTCCAGAGCAGAAGCAAGTGCTGCCTTTTGTGGGTTTGCTTTGTTTTGAGCGGTTAGTAAAGTTGTCATGTTTAAATTATAAAAGATGTGTCTAATATTGAATCCTATTTAAGCTTTTGAAGACCAGTATATTAGTTTTCCTGCAGTAGTCCAGTCCTCTTCCAGAAAAAATGAAGATGATTTTGCCAAGGTCACACACCCATTTTTCTTTGAGATAAGTCTTACAGAGATTTTCATATTCCTTAGTAACTAGCTTATTCAAAGGAAGAGACCCAAGTACCAACCAACTCTTACCTTTGCACACAAAGTATGATTCGAAAATATGATGAAGATGACCATACAAATGCAAACGATATAAAAAACTCTTAAACAGAATCCAAAGGTTGCGCAAAGGCAGTTTTCCTAAACCATTGCAACACAACAACGTCTTATGGACAGTGCATTCTGCTAACCAGACTATCACAGAAATATCTACTATATACTGTTTCTTTGAAAACTAATCTGAAACAAAGGAGAAAAGGTGTCAAACTTCTTTACAGTATGCTGGAAACCAGAAACTGGAGAGAAAATACAGTGAATGTCAAGAGAAGGTAATGCCAGCAAGGTCAGTATGTAAAGAAGATAAATGACAGGAGTCTGCAAAAATAGAAGATGTGCTACAGAAGGGGTTAGTCTACAACAACTGCCTATTATCCTCATAATTTTAGAAGTGTTTATCTTTTCTCCTTTTTTAAAATGACGAGAAAATGGTTAAGGTGGTTTTTGAATATGGTCTTATGTTTCAGGTGGACTACAGGGGAAATGCAGTGACTCTGTGAAATTCAGCTAACAGTCCAAGTAATTGTGTAAGGGCATGTAGTGGAAATCACACTTTTGTTATTATAACTGCCAAATGCTACCTGTTGTGTTGAATATGTGCCAGTAATTTTCTCTCCAAATCCTTAGTTTGTGAGCAAATTCCTTGCAAGAACTTGAAAGAGCGCAGCTTTCTGTTTAATGTAGATGGAAGAACTCAATGTAAAATACATCTATATCACTCTTCCCTACATACTCATAAAAATATTTATTAAAAAGGCTTTTGTATTAAAATTCTGCTTTTCATCTTCACCATGCTGCCTTCCATCTCCCTTAAGTATCAGCATATTTTGATATCACCATTATTTGCATTTCAGACCTTTTCTTGATCTCTCACAAAGAAAGGATTTGCGAAATGCTAAAACATCAAGTTTCTTAAATTTTTGAAAGCAGTCATTGTTCTGTTATGTTTTAGGAACATGGTATTCCAACTGATTTGGGCTATGCAGTGGCTCCACACCATTCTGGAGTCTATCCAGTACATGTTCAGCTTTATGATGCCTGGAAAAAGGTCTGGAATATCAGAGTTACTAGCACAGAAGAATACCCACATCTGAAGCCTGCAAGGTATAGACAAGGCTTTATCCACAAAAATATCATGGTGAGTTGTATTTATGATGTTCATATTACAACCACTCTACCTTTCTGCGAACAATTTATTTTTTAAGTGGAAAAGCACTGTATCCTGAAAGTTCACATTGTGAGAAGCACATATTGCAATGCATAAGTAGCAAGATATATTTGACAGTATCTTGTTAATTAAGATCAGTCTGTTGCTGGTGGTGTTACTGCTGATGAAGGTGGCCTCCAGGCACCCCACTGTTAACAGTTAAGAGGCTGTTAACTGTTCTAGTCCTACTGTTAACACTGGTTCAGAGATCTCAAGGAAAAAGTCAACTTTACATCTTTTAACAGAATATTATGGGTTAGATTTTTAGCAGGTTTTAAATTTGCATGGTGCCATTAACTGCAAAAGAGTTTTGCCAGTTTATGCCATCTGAGAATCTGGATCTTGGTGCATAAATATTTTTCTTCTTCCATTTGAACAATGCACAGTTGCCCTCTTTTTGCTTCCTGCCATATGGAAATGTGACTTTGCTTTGCTCTGTGGCTTAACCCCACAGCTAGGCTTTGGGCCCAGGTGATCAGTCTGGATGCAAAGCAACCACTTAAAGGTTGGACGGAAGGAAGACACACACCCCCCACACCCCTCCAGGCTAAGAAACTGCTCTGTTGAGGCAACCACAAGTCAAATCACACAATTTTTCTGTATTACGTAATTCACAGCGTCGTTCACTGACAGCAGTATTTGCCAAAAGGGGTTGTACACAACTGACGTGGAAGGCGTTATGCTAACACCATCTGGTCACTGGGGCGTAGGCTATTTCTGATTCACATACTGTCATCATTATCTGAGAAGTGTTTCAAAACAACTTTCCAAGATACTTGACGGTATGTTCTCCAGTAACTTTCTTTTGGAGCATGTAGGAGAGGGTTGAATGCTTTGACAATATATTTCCCACTGAATGGGAAAATACAGTGTGTACTGTATTTTACCTCTGACTGCAGTAAGCAGGTTTGGAGGGTCAAGTGCCTTAGCGTGAGACTGCCACATAGCTTAGAAGAGAATTCTGGTATTGTCCTCAATACAATTGATTGGATTGGATATAACTTTTCTAAACAAAATAAAAATATTTAGAAGTTTTGGTCTATTTTTGAATGAAGCAAACGAAAATGATCTCCAGACATCCAGGAAAAAGATTGATACCGTGCAGATCTGAGCTACATTTTGTTCTCCTCAAAGCAATAGCTGCATGTAAAATAATGGGTTTGTGGATATGCTCAGGGGACGTGAAGCATTTGAGGAAGACTGATTGATTCACAGAATCTCCAAAAGTCTCATAAATTTTGGTAAAACCATGTCGTTTGAAGACACATAATGAAATTTAACACGAGGACACTGAGGCCAAAAAACTCTTTCCAAGAACAGTCATACGAAACCACCTGTTCTGGGAGTCTCATGCTTTCAATTCTCGAGGGCAAATGCATTAATATGTTACATCTGCAGGCTTATAGTGATGAATACATTCAGTAATAAAATCATTGTGTAAGATTTGTCAGAGCATTTCCCGTCTAGTACAGCTTCATTCCCTGCCTCTGTGAAGAACTGTTCTCATATTTAATCAGTGAAATCCAAAGGTTTTTAAAAAGTATATGCAAGTTTATACCAAACACACGAATTCCACACATTTTCTGACAACACAGAATTTATGATCTGTGGTCGCAGTATACTGTACATTACAACAAAGATTTTGAGAAATGAAACTACAAGAAATAAAGAGTATCTAGAAAACCACAGTCTGTGTCAAGTAAGGGATTTGTATGCTGTAAAAGTTTAAGCTACCATATAATAAATGTTCTAAATTGGACTAAAATGTTTGAGAACAATCCCAGTTTAAGAATTGTACATGAACATCAATACGCAGCAGCTGATTTTCCATTAAAAATAGACATTATTGAAATACTCTCCAGCTAATTATTTTCTGAAGTTGATAGAAAACATTTTGAAGTTCTACTGGAAAACCTAACTGAATCTATTAGTTCTTCCTTTTCAAAGGGCTTGTTCTTTGCATGTTTTTAAAAATACTTCTGTTTATGCTACTTTTTATTGCAATTGGTTTTTCAAAACTAGCACAGTTGAATGAGAAGCAAATCTTTCTTATAATGTGAGCATTATCAGCAAAACTCATAATGTGTCAGTGTGGAATGATTATTGGTGGTGATGCCTAAGCTGAAAAAAAAATTACTTTCAAATTCCAGTTTAAATTTACAACAAAGCCATCCAAATGAAAAGTGGAACTGGTTAATACAATATGGATTGATAATATTTCAGATTATGTTTCAAATTATGTTATAGTTTTAGAAATCTTTGATGACCAGACTTCAAATACTTGGTGTTCGGATCAGGTGTTATGGACAAAATTAGTTTGAGGAGGTTGCTGAATTGTAACTTACTGATCAAGAGCAATCTCCAGTTTGGAACAAAGTGTGATGAATTTTTGGATGTTATGATTTCAATGATAATAAAAATGTTGTTTCTTTCAGTAAGCACTATTTATTGATCTGCCAGTGTATGGATTCAACTAGATAATTATTGACTTCTGGCGAAGTTGTGATGCCAAATCTACCCGGCAGTTATCACAAAGGAACGTTATCAGTTATGTGTTACTTATCTGGCATTTATTATCTCATTAAAAGTATAGACATTTTTGTTCTGTGAATTTCTCTTGAATAATTTTTTTTTTTAATAAATTCAGGTGCTTCCTAGGCAAACTTGTGGCTTATTCACCCACACAATTTTCTATAAAGAGTACCCTGGAGGCCCAAAGGAACTAGACAAAAGTATTCAAGGAGGAGAGTTGTTCTTCACAGTGGTTCTCAATCCAGTAAGTACAGTGTAATTTTGAAATATTTTTTAAAAATTAGTTAAAGGAGAAGTTACTGTGTGCTTCAAGGCTAACCAGCTGGGTCTCCCAGATAGTAATGATTAGTCATAGTGAACTGTTCTGCTTTTTCAGTTAGTTTAAGACCTAATGTTATATATGTTGTTAGTTGTACAAAGATAATCCCTAGGGTTTTTGTGACTGTTTTGCTAGTAATGCCGTAGTAGCAACCTTTGCTGTTCTTTACTTTTGCATGAAATATGAACCGTGAGATTTCATTTTGAAAAGAATTCAAGTGTTAAGAACTGGTATTACTATGAGATGGGTACCTTGGGTGAAGCCCATTTTCCTGCACTGCCCAATTCCTAATCAGAAATATTGAGAACACTCATTGGTTTGAGAAAGTTGCAAGCAAGGAATGCTTGCCCTTAAATCTGTTTTGAGAATTTTCAGTTGCTGATTCATAATACTTTCAAAGAAAAGATCCAAATAAATGAACCACGTAGTTAATACATCTGCTTAACCTTTCATTTATTTTTAATGGAAGAATAAACAACAAAAGAGGCTATGGAACTACAGAGCACTGACAGAAGAGAACAGTATAGTACTTCAAAATGGCATGGGATTAGGTCAGTTGCATCCAAACTGACTTTTTAGACAAGCTGTTAGGTGAGTTTTTCAGCTGAAGTCCAAATGAAACATACGAGTAAGATTTACCTGTTTGATACAAATGTAATCACTAGGACTCATTTTTTCAGAACACCAAAGGGAACAAAATACATTTCCACTCAAATCCTTTGGAATAATAGCCTAAATATTTTTGTGCTCTTTTTTGTTTTTCCATAATTTAATAGAAGTCCAAAGGACAAAATCTTCTGTCAGCTACTTCAGCAGTTGATATGCAGGTCTATTTTTCAAGCCTCAAATTCTTTCAGGCTATAGTTTTGGTTCTTTGAGAGCACTTACTGTGATTTGTTCTCCTTTTTCACGTTCACATAGCAGAATTAGGAAATAAAACCTTCACTTCCTCAGCACACATGTGGTCTCACTTCTAGAGTATGGCAGTAGTCCCAGTCCTAACTTTGATGATATATATCATATTATGCCCAGCGTGTTAACAGAGGTGAGACCTGGAAAATCCCTTGGATGAAAGGTATTGGTGCCATAGCAATGCTTTGACAAAATATGGATTTTAACTAGGAGTTACTAGCTTAACAAATGAGACTTAGAGGAAGGCATATAGTAACAACGTTTTGAGTCAGGACAAACTTTATTCCATATTGAAACACAGGCACAACTTAGCCAAAAACTATTTTACCATCTTACAACAGTAGGGAAACAGGAAAAATTAATATGCTTGCTCCAAGGCATAACCCTCTCAAATTAAAAAAATGAAGAGAATGAAGGGGAAGACAAGGTAAGCAGTGAAACAATCATGATTATTGGTATTAATCATAGAAGTTTGATCATGCCTGCCTAACATCCTTGAATGTGAGTACAGTAATATATTTTTATATATTACAATTGGATCTTAGATGTATGCATTGCAATGTAGACTGTATGATCACCTAGTTCTGAGAAATATGAAAAGAATAGGAGTTAAATGTACTACTGTTTTCTAAAGCAACTGTAATGAATATTAGGTCAAAATTTGCCCAAGACAAATTGTTGGAATACTTTTAAGGAGTGCCTTTGAAAACATGATGCGTCTGGTTTTAAATACCTGCTTATAAACAGTTTCTAAAGTTCTACGCGTTAGCCTGGCAGTAATCAGTTTAAAGATTAGGGTTTGCATCTTTGTGTTTTTTAAGTATTACATGTATTTATACCGTAATTTGCAAGTCAGAGTTGGGCAAAGATTACGCATTAAAATGAAAGCCAAGTAGCTTTAGGAATTTGTCTAATTATGAAGTGGCATTTTGGATTTCATAAGCTTTCCTGTGTTTTCATTAAAATTGCTGGGATTTCTTAATGTGAAACACCCAGCTTTTCAGAGGATGCTAAAATTCCATTATGAGGCATTTTTCTAAACATTATTTTTCACTGATGTAAAACAAAGAAGAAGAAATTTAACTAGGAATCATTGCAATGTCAGCTAAATAATATTCTCAACAATGAGTACATAAATATTTAGTTTCCAAAAATGGAAAATGCCAGTGTAAATTAAATGTAAATCTTAAACAAAGTCCTTGATTAGATTTACTGTTTTAATTTGGATAACTGATCTTACATGAGTATAGTTTCTGAGGTGTAAGTTATTAGGCTGAGGCTTTAGAAACTGAGTACTCTACACTGAAATAGATGCGCCTAAGAATAAAGCCGAAAATTTCTTTGCGGTTTGGCTGTGTAGTGGTCGTTATTCACAACAGGGGCTCTGCTTCCTTGTAGAATGCTAGATCAACCACAATCTGCAGAATAAACCACAAAAAAAACACAGGAACATATGTGCATCTATAAGATTTTGACATGAGAACCAGGATTATTGCCCTGTTCCCAGGGCACTGTACAGTGAGAAGCCCTGCAGGTAAGAAAAGCACCAGGAAATCCTGCTCTGCAAATGATCTCTGCTAGTTAGATTTCATATGGGAACGAAGAGTTGGTTTGTTGGAGTAGCTAATCTTGTGGTTGGCAAGCTGTATTTATGTTGTATGCATTTATATCCCCACACTGCTTGTTCGATTGCAATCTGATGGTGGCTGTGAAGTGATCTTGACAGCTATGCCCATTCTGTTCATAAGGCATCTACAATGCTGAAGTGCCACCAAGCTGAAAAAGAGCCTAGGTAGTAACATAACATACTATCTACTTTTCTAATAATAGTATTTTGTATATCTGTCTTCTGTTAAAGACCTTGCTGACTTCAGCAGCCTTTAGGCAAGATTGTACTATATCAGGACCTTGCACAAAACATTTTACAGGAGAAAAAAAAAAAAGCCTTCAGCAGCCCTGTGTTATTAGTATACCGTCAGTATTTTCCCCACATTATCAGCTGGATAATTGACTTAGAGGGAGGTTGTGTGACCTGCACTAATTTAGCCAGGGAATTCTGTAGCAAAGCCACAAGGAAAACATGGATTATAGAAGTGTTTAGTGAGAAGTATCTTATCCAATCAGACAGCTTTCTGTCTTTGTTTTATTATTTCCCATTGTTATGTTTTTCCTGGCACTGTACTGACTTTCAAAAATTTTAGCAAGTATTTTTCCTGATAAACTTGTTAAAATCTTCAGTGACTGCAGATTCATCTATCTGTCTGAAATTTTCAGTGAAGTTCTTGGATTAATAAAACAAATTTCTGTTAAAAATCTCTTAGAATTAAATTGTAACAGTCTCTTAAATGTGTCTGGTAAATGATGAAGGAAGTGAGCAATTAGACTTTGAGCTGTATATAATGATGAGGTAGGTATGGACACTGTCATTAACTATATCATTTCTTGTCAGGTTTGCTAATAAATCTCTATCAGTACTGACAAGACTCTATCAATATTTCTGAACTGCTCTGAAAATAATTAGACCTAAGAACCAAGCCAAACTAAACATAGCTGAACTGAACATGCCTTTATAAAAACTATTTGAATATTGCTGTATTTGCCACTGGATATTTTTCCTCATCTGCAATTAGGATCATACATACATATTGCTTCTTTATGAAAACATGTCTGTACTAGTTACCTGTCTGTGCCATAGCCATTGTTTCTGTAGGCAGTTGATGCGGAGGAGTGGTGGATACACTGGCAGGCTGTGCTGCCATTCAGCGAGACCTGGACAGGCTGGAAAGTTGGGCAGAGAGGAACCTGATGAGGTTCAACAAAGGCAAGTGCAGGGTCCTGCACCTGGGGAGGAACAACCCCATGCACCAGTACAGGCTTGGGGTGGACCTGCTGGAGAGCAGCTCTGCAAAGAGAGGGACCTGGGTGTCCTGGTGGACAACAGGTTAACCATGAGCCAGCAGTGTGCCCTGGCTGCCAAGAAGGCCAATGTCATTCTGGGGTGCATTAGGAGGAGTGTGGCCAGCAGGTCGAGGGAGGTTCTCCTTCCCCTCTACACTGCCCTAGTGAGGCCTCATCTAGAGTACTCTGTCCAGTTCTGGGCTCCCCAGTTCAAGAAAGATGAAGAGCTACTGGAGAGAGTCCAGCGGAGGGCTACGAGGATGATGAGGGGACTGGAACATCTC